TTTTTTTTTTTTTTTTTGAGACAGCTCACAGCAACCTTAAACTCTTTGGGCTTCAGCTATTCTCTTACCTCAGCCTCCCAAGTAGCTGGGACTATAGGTACCCACCACAACACCCAGCTATTTTTTTTTGGGGGGGGGTTGTAGTTGTCATTGTTGCTTGGCAGGCCTGGGCTGGATTCAAACCTGTCAGCTCCGATGTATATGGCTGGCACCCTAGCTGCTGAAGTACAAGTACCCAGCCCACCCGGCTACTTTCTTTGTAGCAGTTGTCATTGTTTTTAGCTGGCCCAGGCCGGGTTCAAACCCACCAGCCTAGGTATATGTGGCCAGCACCCTCCCTACTGAACTATGGGCGCTGCCTTAAGTTTTCTTTGAATGTAAATATTTTGCAGGAATTATTTAGTTACAAATAATGCTTTAGAGCCAACTTTCATGAATCAGGAAGAAAGGGTAAAAGGTCTCATGTAGGCTCGGCGCCTGTGGCTCAAGCAGCTAAGGTGCCAGCCACATTCACCTGAGCTGGCGGGTTTGAATCCAGCCAACAACAATGACAGCTGCAACCAAAAATTATGGCGGGCACCTATAGTCCCAGCTACTTAGGAGGTGGAGGCAGGAGAATCGCTTGATAAAAAAGTCTCATGGGCGGCACCTGTGGCTCAAAAGGAGTAGGATGCTGGCCCCATATGCCGGAGGTGGTGGGTTCAAACCTAGCCCTGGCTAAAAACTGCAAAAAAAAAAAAAATCTCATGTAATTTTTTGTTGAATTCCTTTTTCCTTTTCCTTTTTTTTTTTTTTGAGACAGAATCTTACTCTGTCACACTGGGTAGAGTGTCCTGGCATCCTAGCTCACAGCAACCTCAAACTCTTGGGATCAAGCTATCCTCTTGCCTCAGCTTCCCATGTAGCTAGGACTACAGGTGCTGTCACCATGCCTGGCTAGTTTTTTCTATTTTCAGTAGAGATGGGGTCTCACTCTTGCCCAGGCTGGTTCCAAACTCCTGAGCTCAAGCAATCCACCTACCTCAACCTTTCTAAGTGCTAGGGTTATAGGCATGAGCCACTACACCTAGTCTTTTGTAGAATTCTTTTTTTAAAAAGCCTGTATATTTAAATTTTCCGTTGTTGTATTGTCATTAAGCAAACACATTACTTGAACTGAGAGGTACATGATGAATTTATTGTGGCTTAATTAGAAATCTGAGATATAAAATACTACTTTCCAAAGGTGTTACATTGTACCCGATTTAGAAAACAAATTATGGGGCTTGGCCCCTGTGGCTCAAGCGGCTAAGGTGCCAGCCACATACACCTGAGCTGGCGGGTTCGAATCTAGCCTGGGCCTGCCAAACAACAACAACTGCAACAAAAAAATAGCCAAGCGTTGTGGCGGGCACCTGTAGTCCCAGCTACTTGGGAAGTGGAAGCAGGAGACTCCCTTCAGACCAGGAGTTGGAGGTTGCTGTGAGCTGTGATGCCATAGCACTCCACCTAGGAAGATAGCTTGAGGCTCTGTCTCAAAAAATAAAAATTAAAAAAAAAAATCTCAGCTCTGGCTTGGCATCTGTAGCTCAAGCAGCTAAGGTGCCAGCCATATATACTGGAGCTGGCGGGTTCAAATACAGCCGGGCCTGCCAAACAACAATGACAACCACAACCAAAAAAAAAAAAAAACCAGGCGTTGTAGTGGGCACCTCTAGTTCCAGCTACTTGGGAGGCTGAGGCAGGAGAATCCCTTGAGCCCAGGATTTGGAGGTTTCTGTGAGCCATGATGCCATAGCACTCTAACCAGGGAAATAGCTTGAGGCTCTGTCTTAAAAAAACAAACAAAAAAACACACAAAAAAACCCTATGTTTATGGCAAGTTACCTGGGGTCTGAGCTCATAATTTTAGGGAAATCTCCACTTAAGAATTTTTATTCTTGGGGTGACACCTGTGGCTCAAAGGAGTACGGCACCAGCCCCATATGCCGGAGGTGGCGGGTTCAAACTCATCCCTGGCCAAAAACTGCCAAAAAAAAAGAATTTTTATTCTCTTGGCTCAGCGTCTGTAGCACAGGGGTTACGGTGCCAGCCACATGCATCGTGGCTGGCAGGTTCAAATCCGACCTGGGCCCCCCAAACAACAATGACAACTGCAACAAAAAAAAATAACCGGGCATTATGGTGGGTACCTGTGGTCCCAGCTACTTGGGAGGCTGAGGCAAGAGAATCACTTAAGCCCAAGAGTTTGAGGTTGCTGTGAGCTGTGATGTCAAGGCACTCTACTGAGGGCAACATAGTGAGACTCTGTCTCAAAAAAAAAAAAATATTTTCATTCTCTATTATTGTTGCTTTTACTCCTAAACATTTTCTCATGTGATGGTGCATCTTAAAGTCAACTTACTGATGGAGAGGAGTTATAGGCAATAACTGGTTTCTGGATAAAAAACAATCAGGCCGATTAGTTCAACTTGAAATGGTTAAGAAAATAAGAGAGTCCTCAAAAATTTACCCTAGGCATATAAAATAATATTTATGAAATGATTACTTTTCTTTGAATATAGGAGAGAGGACATGGGCAGTTGGCATGTACTGTGTCCTCACATTTTTGGTCTTATGTGACTTAGGTTTTGGTGTATATTAATACATAACATGTGACTCTGAAAATCTCATGCAAAAAGCTCAGTAGCAATGTTGTCATATTAACATATTTCATTTCACTTTAGGATCGCCCAGCAATGCAGCTTTACCAACCAGGAGCTCGAAGCCGAAATCGACTCTGTCCTCCTGATGACAGCACCAAGTCTGGAGATTCAGCAATAGAAAAAAAGCAAGAAAGTGGTATTAGCCATAGAAAAGAAGGAGGAGAAGAGTGATGAGTCTGAATGGCCTTAGGTGTCCTGACTGTCTAGGCAGCCAAAGAGCAAGTGTTAAGTGATCCAGAAGCGCCTTCAGGGCAAAGGAATAGAGAGAAAGAAAGGGAGTCGCTGTGCTGGTGGGATACATTGCAGAGGAGTATGTTTTGCGTCAAAGCAGGAATCTGATTGCAGGTTTAGAATTGGAAGTACAATTTCATTGTTTTTGTAACTTCTATAAATTAATTTTAACATGTTAGAAAATGATGACAAGAACGTGCATTATAATTTACAGGAGGGAAGTGTCAAGTGAGCGCTTAAATATTTGTGAAATGAGAAAAAAAAGAGCTGGTTCTAAAATCAAAAGATGTTAATCCTGGATTGAATTTTCTTAATTTGGGTGGAGCAGAGTCACTTCGAAGTCTTGTTCAGATCTAGTTACATTGCATCGTTGGTTGTCACTGTTGACTTTGTGTAGTGTAGAAGTAACAAGCATGTCATTGTAGTACAAGTACAGTGAAGGATATAACAAATTTTGTTGATGCAGAAATTTAAATAGTCACGTTAGGTTTATATCCAGTGTCCTAAAGTTTTAGGATTAGTTTTAGTTTTCTGTTTGCTTGTATGAGCTTAGTGTAAACAATATTTTTAAACATCTCATTTTGCCTTTGGCATTTTTTCTATTAGGTTAAATATAGTTGTTGTTTGGTTCTTGACAATCCAGTCTTCGTTTTTATCTTAGGTCTCATGAACTGAGTGCATATTCTCTCCAGGAAGGAAACTGTACCAAAATTGTTTGTATTAGCAACTTTTAGTCTCATTTGTCTTGTATTAATGTTAATAAATATCAACAGCACTGAATATGAAGCTAAGTCTGTTTATTAACTTTACTAAGTATTCTACTAGTTTTGAGAAATTAAACATTTGTTTTTTTGAGTTTTTTTGTTTGTTTTTGAGACAGTCTCACTTTGTCACCCTCGGTTGAATGCCATGGTATCTTATCTCACAGCAACCTCGAACTCTCGAGTTGAAGTGATTCTCTTGTCTTAGTCTCCCAAGTAGCTGGGACTACAAGTGCCTGCCACAATGTCCAGCTATTTTTAGAGACAGGGTCTCACTCTGGCTCAGGCTGCTCTTGAACTCCTGAGCACAGGCAATCTGCCTGCCACAGCCCCCCAGAGTGCTAAGATTATAGGCATGATCCACTGTACCTGGCTTTTTTGAAGTTTTTTAAAGATACGGGGTTTCACTGTGTTTCCTAGGCTGGTCTCAAACTCCTGGCCTCAAGGGTTCCTCCCGCCTCAGCTGCCCAAAGTCCTGGGATTGTGGTGTGCGCCCCCACACCCAGCCTACAGAAATTAAACTTTTGATTTGAATTAATAACCTCATGGGAATTTTGAAAAGGGGTGAATATTAGTTTCTGTAATAACACTTTACTAGTGTTAGACCTTTGTTTTGATCACCGTGGAGAATCAAATCATAGTTCACTACTCTTGTTTCATAAGAACCAAAATGATTTGACTTAAGTATTTGCTTCATTTCCATCCTGCAAGCCCCTCCTAATACAGCATCAATGTGCCTTCATTTAATAAGTCACTACTTTGTTTTCTCAGCTTTTAGAAACCAGTAGCCCAAGAGGCAGGTAGAAGGACCACCCAAGATGACTAAAAGAAAATGGTCCTCAATTAGGAGAAAATACTAAGATATGAGAAGGGAGGCTCAGTGCCTATAGTTCAGCAGCTAGGGCACCAGCCACATAAACTGGGGCTGGTGGGTTTGAACCCGGCCCGGGCCTGCTAAGACAACTACAACAAAAAAATAGCCGGGTATTGTGGCAGCCACCTGTAGTTGCAGCTACTCAGGAGGCTGAGGCAAGAGAATCAAGCCCAAGAGTTTGAGGTTGCTGTGAGCTGTGATGCTATAGCACTCTACTGAGGGCGACATAGTGAGACTGTCTCAAAAAAAGATGTGAGTAGGGAAAATTTCAAAAAGGAGGATGTCTGAAAGTGTCCAATGCCACAGAGGTTTAGGAGGACAAGAAATTGAAGTGTTATTTGGCAATAATGAGGTTATCAGTGAACTGGTAGGACAGAAACCATGTTACAATGAGGGGTGAATGGTAGGTGGGAAATGGAGATGGGGACAGTTGGACAAATGGGGGTTGGAGCTCAGAGATGAGATTTGGGCTTGAGGTGCGGCATTGGAATTAATCCATTTTTAGATGACCATTGAAGCCATGAGCATGGATCCTGTCCTTTAGAGGGAGAGTGAAGTAAGAACAGAAGCAAACCTAGGGCCCAGTCTTGAAAAATCTGATGTTACTATACAGGTAAGGAAATGTATATACAAAGACAGAGAAGTAGGCAGATGGACAGAAGAAGAAAAGCAGATTGATGCTACTTAACCCAAGAGAAGAGTTTCAAGAAAAAGGGAGTTGCTGCTGAAAGGCCAAGTATGATGCCTGGAAAAGGCCATGGAATTCAAAAACTTACAAATCATTGATAACCTAGAATTATGGGGTATAGAAACCAGATTGAGTTGAGAATGGGAACAGCATACACAACTTTTGGGGGAAGTAAAAGGGAACTTTGAAAGGTTTGTGGACAAGTTAAAAGACAAAAAAAAAAAATTTATTTGCAGGCTCAGTGCCTGTGGCTCAAGTGGCTAAGGTGCCAGCCACATACACCTAAGGTGGTGGGTTCGAATCCAGCCTGGGCCCACCAAACAACAATGATGGCTGCAACCAAAAAAAAATAGCCAGGCGTTGTAGTGGGCGCCTGTGGTCCCAGCTACTTGGGAGGTGGAGGCAGGAGATTCGCTTGAGCCCAGGAGCTGGAGGTTGCTGTGAGCTGTGATGCCACAGCACTCTAGTCAGAGGGACAGCTTGAGGCTGTCTCAAAAAAAAATTTTTATTTGCAATGTAAGCCTCACCAAGGTCAGGACACTTTTGTTTTGTTTGAAACAGTCTCGCTATGTCACCCTCAGTAGAGTACTGTGGTGTCACGGCTCACAGCAACCTCAAACTCTTGGGTTTAAGGAATTCTCTTGCCTCCGCTTCCCAAGTAGCAGGGACTACAGTGCCTTATACAATGCCCAGCTATTTTTTGTTGTTGCAGTTGTCACTGTTTTAGTAGGCCCAGGTGGAGTTCAAACCCACCTGCCTCGGTGTATGTGACTGGTGCCCTAACCACTGAGTATGGGTGCTGAGCCAGGACACTTTTGTAAATAATGAAAGCAGCCATTTAGTCCATCCCTAAAGAGTTGAGGATCCTGGGAATTTAACCATGTCAATGCAGTCTTTTTTACATTAAGTAAAATAGGGCAGCGCCTATGGCTCAGTGAGTAGGGTGCTGGCCCTGTATACCGAGGGTGGTATCAAACCCAGCCCTGGCTGAACTGCAACCAAAAAATAGCCACGCGTTGTGGCGGGTGCCTGTAGTCCCAGCTACTGGGGAAGCTGAGGCAAGAGAATTGCTTAAGCCCAGGAGTTAGAGGTTGCTGTGAACTGTGTGATGCCATGGCACTCTACTGAGGGCGAGACTCTGTCTCTACAAAAAAAAAAAAAAAGAAAGAAAGAATGGAAAATAAAAAAAAGAAAAAGAAAAATAACTGCTCTGGACATAATTTTAAGATGAGAAAACAAAACTCTCACAGAAATTGCCCTTGTTTGGCTGATGCCACGACACTCAATCTGGTGAGACTCTACCTCTGTCTCTGTTCCCGTTTTTGACAAGAATAACCAGGAGCTGGCTCGACGCCTGTGGCTCAGGCAGCTAAGGTGCCAGCCACATATACCTGAGCTGGTGGGTTCGAATCCAGCCCGGGCCCGTCAAACAACAATGACAACTACAACCAAAAAATAGCTGGGTGTTATAGTAGGCACCTGTAATCTCAGCTGCTTGGGAGGAGGAGGCAGGAGAATTGCCTGAGCCCAGGAGTTGGAGGCTGCTGTGAGCTGTGATGCCATAGCACTCTACCCAGGGTGACAGCTTGAGGCTCTGTCTCAAAAAAAAAAAAAAAAAAAAAAAAAAGAATAACCAGGAGCATTATCATAGTGAAGGACTCTGGTGAAGCTTTCCTGGGCATTTTTCTTCTAAAATAGAAAAAAGTTAGCTGGACGTTGTGGTGGGCACCTGAAGTTCCAGCTACTCAGGAAGCTGAGGTAGAAGGATCATTTGAACCCAGGAATTTGAGGTTGCTATGCACTAGGCTGACACCATAGCACTCTAACCTGGGCAGCAGAGTAAGACTCTGTCTCAAAAAAAAAAAAAAAAAAAAGGAAAAAAAGAAAAGAAAAAGAAAAGGGGGGGGGGCTTGGCACCCATAGCTCAGTGAGTAGGGTGCCAGCCACATACACCGAGGCAGGCGGGTTCAAGTCCGGTCCAAGCCTGATAAAAACAACCACAACTCCAACCAAAAAATAGCCAGGCGTTGTGGCAGCCTCCTCTAGTCCCAGCTGCTTGGGAGGCTGAGGCAAGAGAATAGCTTAAGCCCAAGAGTTTGAGGTTGCTGTGAGCTGGGACGGCATGTTACTCTACTGAGGGCGATATAGTGAGACACTGTCTCAAAAAAAAAAAAAAAGAAAGAAAGAAAAAGGAAACCAAGCAGTCAATGTAGAGGTCAGAGGACTTGGCCTTAGGCAAAGCAAAGCCCCTGAACCGTAAGCTGGCATCATTTGTCTCCTTGCCCAACCTGGTGCCAGCCGTCTCAAGGCTATTTTCATGTCAGCACCTCCCTGTTTTGTTCTATTTGCCTTGCCAGTCTAGCTCTGAGTAAATCATACTCCTCTACCCTACCCTCTTTAATTTCTTCCACTCATTCATTTAGCAAACAGCAGTTGCTGACTGTGCCAGGCCCTGGACTCTAAGTCCTTGTCCTTGAGGAACTCATGGCCAGCTAGTGGCAAGAGACAAATAAAAATAATCAGAGCACAATTCGAGAAGGGCTGTAGTAGCACAGGATGGTTGGTGTGGGAGCCTCCTGCTGCTAAGCACCAAATTGCTGGAGAAAATCCCTAAACCAGATTAACTGGTGAAACCACAAGAGGCCCTCCCTTCTGCCAAGCAATATTTTTATCCGTTTGGAATCAATAACTGTTTCCACAGTTGGGGGGAGCAGGGTAAGAATCACTTCCTCATGTATCAAGAGTTCATTCAATTTTGCCTCCTTCACACATAGGTTTGATTTCTTTTTTTTTCTTTTTATCATTTTTTTTTTTTGAGACAGAATCTCACTATGTTGCCCTTGGTAGAGTGCCATGGCGTCACAGCTCACAGCAACCTCAAACTCTTGGGCTTAAGTGATTCTTTTGCCTCAGCCTCCCAAGCAACTGGGACTACAGGTGCCCACCACAATACCTGGCTATTTTTTGCTGCAGTCGTCATTGCTGGTTAGCTGGCCTGGGCCAGGTTCGAACCCTCCATTTTTAGTGTATGTGGCTGGTGCCATAACCTCTGTGCTACAGGCACCAAGCCATGGCACACTT